TTGACTTTGGGACCTGAAATATGGCAGCTTTTCACTTACACATTTTTGAACCACTCATTCACAGAAATAGTTTCCAGTCAAAGATCTGGACAGATCCACCAAGTTCACAGTAGTTTTACAAGTTTCTGCAGCGCAGAAAAAAAAAACCCTGAAAACATCGTCGTTTCCTATGCTCATCTCTCCCAAGTCATTAATAATTTGAGTCAACTCTTGTTTGCCATTGGCAACACAATCATTGTCCGTGTCCAGAATGTCCTCACACTCAAAGTGCATTGCTTTCTCCTCCTCTTCCTCCCCCACCAAGTCCTCCGTGATAGAGCCCAATTTTGGTGCACTCCGGCTGCGCTCCACCGGGGGTTTGTAGTAGCACTGTCCGTTCAGCAGCTTCCTGAGAGGCACCAAGGGGATGGTTTGTTCCCCTATGAGCTGCTGCTGCTGGTGCCTGGCATCGTCCCTCTGTTTTAGGAGGTGTCCAAAACATCTCACTCTTGCCCTTCTAACTATACCCCGATCTGAGGGACAGCTCAGATTGAGATAGATATACCCCAGGGGTGGGAGGATCAGTCCAGATATTGATACTGTCAATACCAACACTGATATTGGTATCTAATCAATACTAGGGAGATATGATTGTTACTTTGTTTCTCTCCTCTAAGTTCAGTATGTAGCCCACTGAACTGTGTTAACTGTGTTGTGTTGGTGGTTTTGTTAATGAAAAAATGTATCTCAAACATGCACTATGAAAAATGACTGAACCTTTTTGTATTGACTGTCATTTTATTTATAGCCCATAACACATCTAAACAACAGATGCTGACACAAAGTTCTTTAGAGACATGCACATTTACATTCCATGTCTCCAAAACACCCAATTTCAAAATACAGGATAGTCTGAAAGTTATGTTTTTTTCTTGCATTAACTAATTATTGTTGACATTAAAAGGTGGTCATTAAAATGTGTTCAGAATGATGAATTATCTCATAAATCACACTGCTTTCTCCCATTTAAGCTGTCTTTATAGGGTAAAACTATGTGTAGTACTGCATTTACGTTCTATTGGAACGATACCAAAGTATGGAAAGCAATTTGCCTTTAGAAGTATCGCACAGTACAGATATACTCTTTTCTAATTTAATCTAATTCTAACGTCCCGATCACTCCCAAGTGTGACACACGAGGAACTCATGTTGTTTCTGTCGGTGTTTCTTCAGGGCACATTTAACCGCTGAGCGTGTAACCGGAATGTACCACAGCTACTCTCCCGCCTGTATTTATCACACAAATTAGAAGATAATGTTTGTTACTGTTTTAGAGTTTATTTTATTAACGGTATAAAGAATATAAAGGGTAGCTTTTTATAAAATAACATGGCTTCTAAAGTCCAACACCAATTTAATTGTCCGGATATGTTAATCGTTTGGTTTGTTCCATTTCCGGTTTTTACGACAACAAGGCTGTAGGTAGTGCACATGGGTCTCTGAAGCGAGTGGCTGGCCGCAGTATTCTTCAGTTTTATATTCCTCCTGTGTTTTGTGAAGTGACAGCATCGGAGGCTATTATGGGCAAGAAGAAGGCGGGCGGAGGAGCCGTGCTGGGCAGAGCTCTGATCAAGGAGAGGCTCCAGGCAGGCCGGGGAAACAAAAGGGGCGACTCTTGGGTATGACACACGTTACTTTTTTTTTTAGCTTGTGTTAAACGTGTTCAGATAATCACAGATATAGATATGAGACCTTTCGTGATATAGTATCATCCCCTAAGCAGTTGTGACCCCGTTTTTAAATGCCACTCAACTTTTTTAATTCCACTTAGCTGTTAGTATTAGTGTTACGATTACCCCACACTGGCTTACCAGGATGTAAATTTACTGATGCTGTTGTTTTAGAGCAAACGAACTAATGCGCAAGGACTATTACGTAAATAAATGACTGGGGTACGTTTGTGATGGGGATAAACTTTTCTGGGAAATTGTTTTAACAAAATCTCAACTATTTTTAGAACAAGTCAAAGGGTGGTTTGGATGCAAGGATGTGAAAATGATCCGCTATTTGGCGATGATGTCCCAGTCACAGCTGCTTTGTTTAATCTCGACGCTTTTTCACAGGCACTTACTGCTGGTCAAGCTACTGAAAGTTTGTTGTCATTGTTTTTTCTTTGTATTTTCAGCTCCACACCAGTGAACTGAATGATGGCTACGACTGGGGGCGGCTGAACCTGCAGTCAGTGACAGAACAAAGTTCCATGGATGACTTTCTGGCCACAGCTGAACTGGCAGGAACAGAGTTTGTTGCAGGTAAATAGCAATTTGATTCACTCATGTTTAGTTTTCAGGTGAATTGTAGGTATGTTTCTTTTTTTTACTTATTAAACATGGGAAACTACAGTGCTCTGAAAAAGTATTTGTCCCATTTCTGAATTCTTATTTTTTTGAATAATTGTCACACTTGCACATTTCAGGACATCAACAAATTAAATGATAAATTAGACAAAGATAATTGTTCAATGATGACATCATTTACTCAGGGAAAAAGACAAATCAAAGCTGCCTGGTTCTATGTGGAAAAGTAATTGTCCCCATAAACCTAGCAACTGGTTGTCCTTGGGTAGCAACAACTGCAATCGAGTGTTTGCGATAACTGGGAATGAGCCTTCCACATCGAATTTTAGTCCACAATATTTACGTGTATAAACCTAACAGAAGTAATTCTTCCTGTGTTTTTAAGTATTTTTTGTCTTAAATATTATGTGATCTCCACTGCAGATCTGCCTTTTTGATTCTGCTTGTTAATCTAATCACTTTCATTCATTTCTGTGTTTTCTTAGAGAAGCTCAATATCAAGTTTGTGCCGGCAGAAGCTCGAGCGGGCTTATTAACAGCTGAGGAGAAAAGCGAACTGATGAAGCTGCACGAAGACAACAAACATTTCCTCAGAATTCCGAGACGGTGATTTGAGTCGACATGTTTTTACAGGTTAATTTGTCTAATGTATAAATAATATGTTGCATTGATAAGCTCTGTTGTGTATTTCCTTGTTATAAGACCCCACTGGGATGAAAGCACCAGTCCAGACGAGCTTCAACAGACAGAGAAAGACAGCTTCTTGGAGTGGAGACGAGCACTTGCACAGTATGCAGCTTTTCTGTACTCTGAGTCACTTTTGGTGTTAAGAATCAGTAGTGAAATGCAGGGATAACCATTCAAAATTTTCTAATTAATGACTTATGATACATTTGTGCTGGATTATTGTTGCCTGTAATCTAATTACAAGTGTTCTCTTCAAAGGCTGGAAGAGGAGCAGAAGTTAATTCTCACCCCGTTTGAGAGAAACCTTGAATTTTGGAGACAGCTGTGGAGAGTGATTGAGAGGAGGTAGAACCCAAATCAACAGCATATCACATTTCCTGAGGAATCTGTTCTCATTATGTGATGCTGAGGGGGAAAAAAAACAAATATTTATTTTTTCTTATTTTAGTGACGTCGTTGTTCAAATTGTTGATGCCAGAAATCCTTTGCTGTTCAGATGTCTGGACCTTGTAAGTGCTTTGTTTCAATAGTGGACAGATGATAGAAATCTGGTTTCATATATGAAAAGAATTGCACTTTGTTTAATCATTTTGCATATTTCATCTGTCAACATTTGCTTGTATCCATCATTACGTACGTTTAAACTGTACTCCAGTGATTGTAATAATTCTCTGGTTGTGTGGCACCAGGAGTCCTATGTTAAAGAAGTTTCAGAGCATAAGGTGAACATGCTTCTGGTGAACAAAGCTGATCTACTGACCAGGGAGCAGAGGCGAGTCTGGGCCAAATACTTTGAGAAAGAGGGGCTGAGGGCAGTTTTCTGGTCTGCTCTGGCTGAAGGCAGCAGGCTGGATGCAGAGGAAAAGGTGAGAGCGCGAAAGCTTGATGAACTTTTCTCTCTTCTCTGAACTGTGATGCATTTGTATTTTTTTTAGGGAACAGATAATTTATTGTACTGAAGAAAAAGTCACCTTTTGGCGTCATCCTGCCGTCTTTAATCCCAGTGAAAAATAGTGCAGAAACTTGTCCCCTCAC